CGACTGTGAAAAACCCCGTTATAACTCGAAAAAGAAAAGAAAGAAAAATCCTTACCAGGGATTCGTGAAGATGATCGACGTGGGGCGCAACAAAATAATGAAGTCCTACCTATGGGAGTCTACGGCTTTCGAATTTCGTGGTTGATCGACGGAGCTTTCTGAAAAAGAGTCGTCTTCTCCGATGGAATATTTTTGGGCTGTGCGCGTTTTTTTGGGCGGAGAGAATGGGCAGATAATTCGGTAATGTCCCTTTGAGTAGGATTTGTGGACAGATAATTAGGTTTAAGACTCTATTATTAATATTAAATAAAAAAATTATTTAGCAAAGTAAGGTTAATTTAGGCAAAACATAATTTTACAGATTCATTGGTCCTTTTAGAATAGTAGAGAAGAGATAAAGATAAAGATAGAGATAGAGATAGAGATAGAGAAGAGATAGAGATAGAGATAGAGATAGAGATAAAATATCCTAGATGCTACTTATATGGCCAAGAGGAGAGAAAGAGAAGATATATCAAGTTATATTCTAAATGATGATAAACATACATTTAAATATTGTCTTTTACACGAACTCGATGTAGAAAATAGTGTGACGACGCTTTTATAATAAGAATATCATCAATACATCAATTTCAGGAGGACCAAGATAAAAAAATGGATCGATAATTGCTTCGACATTGACTCACAACAAATCAATACAGTAACTAATTGTTACAACGGGATCATGCCGATGTCATGTGGATGCTTTCATATAAAATTGAACCAAAAAAAATGTCCAATTTAGAGTGATAAATCTACAATTACTATTATGTATAAATTTGAGCCTCTAATCAATAGATTTGTTTCGATCCATGTAAAAGAAAATCACTGTAGTTTTTAATAATAAGGGACATACAAATCTGTAGACAGTAAGTATGAAATGACCGGATGTCGTCCTTCTGGTCTCTTATCCGTCGGTTTTTCTAGGTAAGAGACACTATTTTGGCCCTGGCGGCCCCTTTCGGTTGTGCAGTTCGTGGCTTCTCCGGTCATCCTCTTCCCTCCTCGGCATTGAAGATCATCGGAGCGCAAATCTGGCTGAGAATTGTCTAGGTTGTTCAAGCTTGACCGTAGTTTTTGGGTCTGGGGCTCCGGTTTGCTGCTATGTTGGATGTTGGGTTTCTAAGCTTCGGGGTTTGGCTCGGGTTTCGATTTGGGTGGCTATGTATTTTGCCTATAGAGTTTAGGGGAGGTCTTATTCTATGTGTAAATTAGGTGTGTGTCGTGAATATTTTTCTCTTGTTTTATTTTGTTTAATCCAGTTGCCGTGTCTCCTTGATGGAGTTTGAAACCCCCTTGATAACATGTGTAATCCAATGGGGGTTGGTATAGACTTGATCTGGTTCTAGTGGTGTGAGTTGACACATCGATTGGACTCTTTGAAAATTTTAAGTTATTAATATAGTTGCCATTTGAAAAAAAAAATTCTTCAACAACTTGGATTGTTATGGAGTTTGAAGTTTCTTGATCCGTGTTAGGGTCATGTTCTTGTCTTTCTGGGTTTGTCTTTGGTTGTTGCCCCTGCCGTTGAGGGTGAACGGTGTTGGACGGCAGTGAAGAGGGCTTTATTATATTTTTTTAGTTGTGTGTGGTAGTTTGCTTATTTTTTCTTCTAGTTTTTCTGTTTAAATCCAGTTGTGTCTGACTTTAGTCTCATCTATGGAGTTGTTTTGTCTCATTTTTGGAACTTTTTGTTTTGCCTGTGTTTGTAACTCCTTGGTTTACTAGTTTTTGTTCTGGTTCTAGTGATGTCTGTCAACATCTTGGGTGTACTTGTTTTGAGTTCTTCAAATTTTAATATAATTATCGTTGAAAAAAATAAAAGTAAAAAAAGTCTTCAACAACTCGAAAAAGGGCACTAAAGGGTCTTCTCTTGGGATAGTAACTCAAAGTTCGATACCTATTTTTCATATTTTAGTTTTTCTTATGACCGAAAGACTATGTTTGCATCTCACTCTATTGATTAAGTCAGTGCAAACACAAGTTTTAGCTGTAACATTGCTTTTAGTCATGCCTAGCAGTTATAGAGCTATATTTTTTAAGTGATACATGCTTTCATTTCAAATCATACTCTGAAAAACAATTTTACTACTAGTATGTATTTTTTGTTAAAACACCAGTTAATCTTTGTAAAAATAATATAATTGGTTGATCCACCTGACATTTATGCCATTCTATAATAAAAAATTATTAAATTATAATTATTCATCTCGAGTATAAACAGAAATTAATTAGCTAGCAGGGTTAGATTTCTTGATTTGACTTCAAACCGAATTCTATATGTTTTTCTGTTGATGGATGAATTTCACCAACAAAATTAAGAAGCGGTAATAAGCAAGATTAGAAGTAATATTGATAAAAAAAAAAAGTTATTGGGAAAAAGTGAATGGAGAATGAAAGCATAAAGACACAATAGTCGACAAATTATGTGCTTGCGTTCATACGCTTGCACTTTGTTTTATTGCAATTATTATATATAATTTTTCGATGAGTTTTGGATGATTCTTCCATGATATTTCTAAGACAGGACATGGTTGTTTATATACAATAAGAGGTAAAAATTCTTCGTGACTCTTTGATGAGTCATGGGACATGTGGTAGGCTCTTGGATGGTTTGCTACATGCGTGTTGACACGTGGCAGGACACCTGTCTAAGTAATCGAATTTGTGGTCGTTGAGTCCGTTCAGATAGGGCGGTACAAGCCAGTTCTAAACGGCCCTCCTTTTCAGACTGAGTAGGGAGATCGGCATGAAAAAAATAGCATGATGAATTTCTTTGGCTCGATCACTCTTGTACTTCTTCTCTAAAGCAGCTCAAAGCTCTTTGATAGGACTGGTCGAGCTATACATATTTTCTAGCTCGTTACTTAGTTTGTCCAGAACATATTATAGCAAAGGTAGTCACCCTTGTCCTCAAGCATCATACGCAACAACATGGGGGGTCATCCTTCAGGTACTTCACCAAACCCAAAGTGGTTTGGTAAAGTGTACTTTTGCAGCCATCTTGAAACCAAGCTCGTTGAATTTTTTGGGTTTTTCAACAGTTGGTACATGGATAAAAGGTGCAATATAAGGATTAGGAACAACATTGTTGATTGGTTGTTGAGGTTGATGAGTTTGTTGAGCATTCGATCGATCTCCAGCCAATGCCATAAGTTCTGTAGATATAGATATTCATAAATGTGTGTCGAATACAACTAGAAATCTACTGAATTGAAAATTGATCTTTTCAATTTTTATAACATAAACTAAAAATTGAAATTACAATAAACTTAAAGTGGAAAGACAATAAGTCGAGACGAGAGTTTCTCATTCCATAAGACGAATACATCTTGTAATGTGCTGATAGATTCAGACGTCTCATCCCCAAAGATACAACAACTACGTCACCAAAACTGTAACACTTTTAAACTTTTGAACTCTGGCGAACTTGAACAAAGTCGAGTACTGAGCACAATATGTATGATGCGTGAGACTTTCAGAAAAGCAAGTATGCAAATGATGTTATATGTGTATTTCTATAGATCTACCATAGTACCATATCCTATTTATACGACTTCCAACTAGATAGAGGATACCTTTAGTCATTTGCCAATTAAGGTAGGTAAGGGGGAGATTGACTACAAATTAAAACTGGTTTTGATCGATCGAATAATTTTTTTACACTTTTTTAACTCAGATTTAATTCAATTCAATTCTGATTCGATATTATCAATATAGTTAAGTGATACAGATCAATTATCCTCATATATCACATCAACTTTAATTCACTATTCATGCACTCACATATTTTTAACTACCTATCATTTACAATAACTTATCTCCTGCTTTTACGTCACATCAACTTTTAATCATTATATATTAAATATTATTTAAATGCAAACAAATCACAATCAATCTTCCATTCAATCAATATTATTTAAAATTAACTCACTTTAAATCAAAATTCAAACAAAATCAATTTTGGTTTATATCTAATCGTTCCCTAACATTCCAACGACGATTGAAACTCCTGTCGTTTAAGGTGTTAACACACCAGTAACTCATTATAAAGTTAACAATATTCAAGTTCAGTGAACCTGGTCAAGGTCACACGGATTGGATCCAAACATGAGTCCAAAACTTACTCTTTGGATTTTAATATTGAGTCACCACTTTTCTAATAAATTTGTAGCAAAGAGATTATAGGGCTGGGCCCAAGGCCCAGGCCCAACACCTCTCCAGGTCGCCCTAGGCCAAGGCTCAGGCCTGTGATCAAACCAGGTCGAGCCAAGCTGGCGCACGCCTGTGTGGTCGAAGTCAACACAACACTTGTTGCATAGCTTTGTTGTTGTTTTGACCTCTCAAGCTCTCTTTATTACATTAAAAATAAAAAAAGTTATCCTCATTAAGCGTCCAATGTGAGATATGACTCTTGATCTTTCGAATCCTGAAAAACCAACGGTTTACATGTCTAGTAATAACTAACTTTATTTATTTTTCACTCACCGAAAATCATTTTTAAGAAAATAAATATACCAATAAAGTTTATCTACATAATTTAATTTAATCTAAATTAACTATTTAGCGATAACAAAATCAGTCAAATCTGGTTAAACATAATTTTAATTAACAGATTTTTTAATAGCTCTAAGCGTATATAGATGTTGGGCCAAATGGGAAGCCATGACAAGATGAGCATGCCATATAAACATCAGCAGATCATGTGAAGTGGCCCAAGTGGGAATCTACTTTTGTCTTTTGCCTCAATCCTTCCCTTTTTTGTTTCTTTAAGTTGCAGCAAATATACATTTCAATAAATATGTTACTACTATTGAATTGGATCCCCAGTATACCTGGTCCCTACATCAATAGTAATAATTAATTAATTTTTTGGTTTATTTTTTCGAACTAGATAAAATATAAAACTTGGGGCCACCCGTTTTGCGAAGGAGTCCTATTATCCTCTATCCAAAACACTATATAAGACTTGGGGCCTCCTGAAGCCCATTCGCAGGCTTAGGGCCGACTCACATCTCCAGACCAATGGGCCGCGTAAACTTTCATCAGCCCAGTTAAGAAACCACCATCAACATATAAATTCCTTTCTCACAAAAACCCTAATGCACATTTCCTTCCGCACACCGCACAAATCTTCAGATCTCTGCTTCTCTCTGAGCAAAGCTCGAAAATGGCGACCCAAATGAGCAAAAAGAGAAAGGTTCTTCCTTCGATCTAATCTGCATTTCCTCAGTGTTTTTGTAGGCAAAAGCTTGATTAATGATCTTTTTTGTGAATTGACTGTTTTGCAGTTTGTGGCTGATGGAGTGTTCTTTGCGGAGTTGAACGAGGTCTTGACTCGTGAGCTGGCTGAGGATGGATACTCTGGGGTCGAGGTCAGGGTTACACCGGTGAGGACCGAGATCATCATCCGCGCGACTCGCACGCAGAATGTCCTCGGTGATTGTTTAATTACATATGTTTTGTTTCACGAGTGATTTTTACACCTTTTTTTGTTTAACTTAAATGTTCGATCTTGTCAACTTTCGTGTTTTTTTATGATGAAAAATACGAACTTGCCTGCTGTAATGTAAGGTGTATTGTATTTGATCTATTTGTGGACAATAGGTGAGAAAGGGAGGAGGATCAGGGAGCTGACCTCTGTGGTGCAGAAGAGGTTCAAGTTTCCGGAGAACAGCGTTGAGTTGTATGCTGAGAAGGTTAACAACAGGGGTCTTTGCGCCATTGCCCAGGCCGAGTCCCTTCGTTACAAACTCCTTGGTGGCCTTGCTGTTAGAAGGTAAATTATTTAGTTTTAATTATTTGCAGGGTAATGCTGTAGTGTGAAGTTATGTTATGTCAATTGTTTATGATGAAGTGACTAGATTATTGTGTAGATTTATAATTAGTGAAGGCTTTTCATATACTTCAGGTTAGTTTTGTGTTTATTACTGAGATTGATTCATGGTCATGATATTTAATTCTGTTATCTTATTTGTTGTTTTTTTTTAGTTTTAATCTGTCCGTTGTATCACATTGAGGTGCTTTTTCTGTGAATAACTTGGTAATTTCTTGCTGAAAGTTATCTTGTTTTATGTGATTTTATTTACATAAATGATGTTTCTTGCTACCAGTCTCACGTTTGGCCTATACGGTGCTTTAGTCCGAGATTTCAAGTCATCTATAAAGCAATTTTGGTGCTCTAATACCAATGTTTGTGTCGGAAGATGACTAGAGTAACTAGCTTCCTCCATGTCATAATCGTTATGACTGTACTAGTGTCATGTTGTGACCATGAGGAAGCACATCAATAATCACTTCTTTTTGTTGTTTTTATTATCTTCTATTTCAGTGAACTCTAAGTATATAGTTCTCCTGTGGTCTTATGAGCATAGCCAAACTTTATTATTTATTCACTCTATGTTGGTTCAGAGTAGTAGTTATATTCAAATCTTTTCCTTGATGGTTTGTTTGCCATAATTGTTATTCTGAAGCTGTTGATAAAAACAGTTCTCTTGATTTGGAAATTGAGTATTTGACTTAAACTAATTCTCCTGGTTTTGGAAAGTAAGATGTCAAGTGGATTTATGAGGCAATTACTTGTGAAGTTATCTAACTCTTGTATCTTTCCTCAGGGCATGCTATGGTGTTTTGAGGTTCGTTATGGAAAGTGGGGCCAAGGGATGTGAGGTATGCTGACAGAAACCAACTCTTCAGTTCATTCCAACAATACGATGTGTTTCATTTCCATCTTAATATGATTGATATGTGTGCAATAATAATATAGGTGATTGTTAGTGGCAAACTGAGGGCCCAGCGTGCAAAGTCCATGAAGTTCAAGGACGGGTACATGATTTCTTCTGGTCAGCCCGTGAAAGAGTATATCGACTCTGCTGTTAGGCACGTTCTTCTCAGACAGGTTTGTTTTGTTTGTCTATTTGTTGTTTACATTAGTTTTTATGAGAGAATTCAATACCATCATCACTTTGATTGTGTGTTTGTTTGTTTATCAGGGGGTACTTGGCATCAAGGTGAAGATAATGCTCGACTGGGATCCAAAGGGCAAGCAGGGGCCCACAACCCCTCTTCCTGATCTTGTCACGATTCACCCTCCAAAGGAAGAGGAGTTCATCAAGCCAGCTGCAGCTATTGTGCCAACTGAAGTTGAGGTTCAAGCTTAGAGAGAGTTGAAAGCTGAAGTTTGTTTTGCATTTTCTTTTCTTGAGGGCCATAGTTGTTATGCTTGAGTTATGAGAACCCTAGAAGCATTTATTTGCTTGACCAATTTCTTACTTCAACAGTAAATTTTGTTTGGCTTCTGTTGCGAGATATTTATTTGGCTGCATAATATCTAATTTAATTTTCTTGTTATTTGTGAGCATTATGGGCGGGATTCGATATAAAATTTTCTTACCTGACTGGATTTTTTTTATAATTTTTTAATTTAAAATTTAACTCAAGTTTAATTTTTAAATTTTTTTGACATCATAAATATAATTAAATAATATCAATAAATTATATTTACAAAATTATATTAACTTTTATTTAGTATTTTATATAATTTTAATTATATATTATTTTANCGCTCTTAAGCACGCACGTGCGGAAACCGCAATCCACATTCCAACGTGTAGACCGCCACGTGTCCGCCGGGTCCTCCCATCCATAATATTTAGGAACGCAGAATTTTTGTTTTTAAAAAAAAACGCAATTTATCAAGATTTGACCTTTTCACAGTTCCCAGCTTTAGCCGGAGCTCTGAAAATTCACGTTCAGTTTTTCACACGCACACATTACACGCACATGTTTAAGCCATATTATATTCATACCAAGTTGTGAATCTCCATAGAGTTAGTGGGGATTGAATAATTAGTTGCAGCTATTGCCCAAAGATCAGATTTTTATCTATTTTACGCGCACACACACACACACAGAGAGAAAAGTACTAGCGAGATAGCGATGGAGGTTGATGGGGTTTTCCTCCGCTTCACTTTTTCTCTATCTAGTTGCAGCCAATTTTTTCTACATTTACATTAGTTGCAGCCAATTTTTTCTTTTTTCTTTTTTTACTCTGTTTACTCGTTCTCAAAATTTGCCTCTTTTCGATTTTATTATTATTTTTTTCTCCGTCTCTGTGTGTGTGTGTGTTGAGATGGGGGTGTGTGTTTCTCGTCCGGAGAACTGCGTGGGAGGTAAATTCGGAGGGTCGAGGAAGAAGAGGAATAGAAAGAGGAGAAGAAAGGTTTTGCGGAAAAGAGCTCACTTTAACGTGTCTGATCTATCCTCGAAGTAGAATCGATATCGAGAAGCTTACGCCTTTGCTGGAGGATCGTGCCTTTGACAATCCCACTTTTCATGGTCTGTTTATCTATCTCTGTGTGTATATGTTATTTTGTGTGTTGGTTCATATGCTTGTGAGCTTGGGATGAGTTATTTGTTTTGAGCATGGAGCTTGCAAATAATGGTGATGAAAATTGAAAGATTAGAGTTGTTGATTTTGTTGTGTGTGATCTAAGTGTGAAAATTGTCTAGTATTGTGCAGTGTTTGAATGTTGATGTATTGTTGTGTATTTTTTCTTAAGTGGGTTGTACTCGAAAATGTGAAAGCTGGACTTGTTGGACTTCTTTGCCTGCTGCTGAGGTTCTCATCTCTGATTAGGCTGCTTTGGTTTTGGCTTCTCAATGGTTGTCTTGTGGTTGTTGCTTGTTAGGCTTTTTGTCCTTTTTATTGTTTCTGCCTTTTGTATATTTTGGTTATAATTTTGATGAGGTAGTGGTTGATGTAAGTTCTAGGCTGTTTTGTTTTAGTTGTGCAGGTTTTTCCTTTTCTTTTGTGGAGGGGAACATGGTATGTTATCTGATTCCCCCCTTAGTTTCCTCTAATTGATCTGTGGTCATGTTGGGGGAAACTTTGTAACCATCTGGTGAATCGAACATTGTAATTACTTTTGCTTTGAGTTAATGTAATTTATTGTCGTTATGGAAAAAAAAACTGTAATAAAAAAGAGTTTAGATTTTGAAGTCCTTGTATTTTGTTCCTCCAAGGTTTTGTTTCTTAACTTTGGTTTGTGGAATTTGGGTTATCGTTTTCTATCGGTTTAAGTCGATTATTCATAAACCTCCTAATGGTATACGGTTTTTGGCGTCTGTGTAGCTTTGTGGCTTTAAAAAAATTAGAATTTTAGGAATTGTTAATTGTTTTGATGGGTAAAAAAGAAAAGAACATTAGCTTTGAAGATTCACATGTTGTTAATTAATTGATGGAAGTAAACTCGTTCACCACCATTCTAAAACAGACAAAATGACACGATTAGTAAAATGGTACCAATTTTACAATAAATAGTGTTTTAGTACCAGATATGGGGTCTTCAGTACCAACTGCAACAAGCATAAAAAAACACCGAATTTTTCTGTCTTAAATGATGTTTATATGACTCAAAATGACTCGCACATTAATTTCTATGAAATTTAGAATGTGTTTATTAAGTTTCACCGCAATTATGATTATCTAGTACCAGATATCGGGTCTTCAGTACCAATTCCGATGAACATAAAAAAGAAAAAGAAAAAAACAAATTTTGTAGAATAGTACCAGTTTTACCACAAATAATACCACTTCTTCTTCTATGCAGTACCAATTATTGTTCAATTAGTACCTTCTTTGTAGAAAGAACAAAAAATGGATTAATTCAAATTTGGTCAATATTTTCAAAATTAGTACCAGACCTAGAGTAAGATAGTATCGCAATTGTGGTGTTCTAGTACCAGATATCGGGCTTTCAGTACCAACTCCGACGAACATAAGAAACAACGAATTTCGGTCTCAAATGATGTTTACATGACCAATAATCACTCTCACATTAGTTCTATAAGATCTAAAATGTGAGTACCAGATATCGGGTCTTCAGTACCAACTGCGACGAACGTTAAAAAAAGAACCGATTTTGGTAAAATAGTACCTGTTTTGACGCAAACAATACTACTTTTTTTCTGTGCAGCACCAGTTATTGATCAATTAGTACCAATTTTTTGTCAACGAAAATGGATTATTCAATTGTGGTCAACATATGCAATAATTGGTACCAGACCTACAGTAAGATGGTACCATCTTTCGGTGTTTTAGTACCAGATATTTGGTCTTTAGTACCACTTGTTGTGAACACATAAAAACACTGAATTTCAGTCTCAAATGATGTTTATATGACCAATAATCACTCTCACAATATTTCCTATGAGATTTAAAAATGTTCTAAATTGAGTTTTGTCATAAAATTGTCATTAACTCGACACACTAATGAAAAATCACTACTAATACACTTCATTTCATTGAATGACACACTTCATCTCATAGAATCGTCATACATTACTACTCGAAATTCTACCTATATGTTTTAACTTCCACTATTTGTCATCCAAATCACGCGTGAACGATCCACGTGTCATGGTAGACATGTATGATTAGAGAAATCACGATTCTTAAAATAGTATCTGTTTTAGCCAATATAGTACCGTATCTTCTTCTACGTGTACCAGTTATTGATCAAATAGTACCAACTTTTAGTCAACGAAAATGAATTATTCAATTGTGGTCAACGTTTTCAATAATTGGTACCAAACCTAGAGTAAGGTAGTACCATTTTTCGGTATTTTAGTACCAAATATTGGGTCTTTAGTACCACTTGTAATGAACACATAAAAACACCGAATTTTGGTCGCAAATGATGTTTATATGACCAATAATCACTCTCACATTATTTTCTATGAGATTTAAAATGTTTTAAATTGAGTTTAATCGTAAAATGATCATGAACTCGACACACTAATGAGAAATCACTACTAATACACTTCATTTCATTGAATGACACACTTCATCTCATAGAATCATCATACATGACTACTCCAAATTCTACCTATATGTTTTAACTTTCACTATTTTTCATTCGAATCACGCGTGAACAGTCCACGTGTCATGGCAGACATGAAGGATTAGAGAAATCACGATTCTCAAAATAGTACCTATATTAGCCAATATAGGACCGCATCTTCTTCTACGTGGTACCTTTTTTTGATCGATTAGTACCAACTTCTGGTCAACGAAAATAGATTATTCAATTGTGGTCAACATTTACAATAATTAGTACCAGACCTAGAGTAAGGTAGTACAATCTTTCAGTATTTTAGTACTAAATATTAGGTCTTTAGTACCACTTGTAATAAACACATAAAAACACCGAATTTCGGTCTCAAATGATGTTTATATGACCAATAATCACTCTCACATTATTTTCTATGAGATTTAAAATGTTTTAAATTGAGTTCATTCGTAAAATAGTCATGAACTCGACACACTAATGAATAATCACTACTAATATACTTTATTTCATTGAATGACAAACTTCATCTCATAGAATCATCATACATGACTACTCCAAATTCTACCTATATGTTCTAACTTTCACTATTTCTCAACCAAATCACGTGTGAACGATCCACATGTCATGGTAGACATGAAAGATTAGAGAAATCATGATTCATAAAATAGTACCTGTATTATATAGTACCGTATCTTCTTCTACGTGGTACCTATTTTTAATCGATTAGTACCTACTTTTGGTCAACGAAAATAGCTTATTCAATTGTGGTCAACATTTGCAATAATTGGTACCAGACCTAGAGTAAGGTAGTACCATCTTTTGGTGTTTTAGTATCAAATATTGGGTCTTTAGTACCACTTGTAATGAACACATAAAAGCACCGAATTTCGGTCTCAAATAATGTTTATATGACCAATAATCACTCTCACGTTGTTTTCTATGAGATTTAAAATGTTTTAAATTAAGTTTAATCGTAAAATGGTCATGAACTCAATAGAATAATGAGAAATCACTACTAATACACTTCATTTAATTGAATGACACACTTCATCTCATATAATCATCATACATGACTACTCCAAATTCTACCTATATGTTTTAACTTTCACTATTTCTCAACCAAATCACGCGTGAAAGATCCACATGCATGGTGAACATGGAGGATTAAAGAAATCACGATTACTAAAATGGTACCAGTTTTGACATATAGTACCACTTTTTCTTCTGCGTAGTACCTGTTTTTAATCAATTGGTACCTACTTTTGGTCAGCGAAATGGATTACTTCAATTTTGGTCAACATTTGCAAAAATTGGTACCAGACCTAGAGTAAGATAGTACCAGCTTTTGGTGTTTTAGTGCCAGATATCAGGTCTTTAGTACCAACTCCGACGAATATAAAGAAACACCAAATTTTGGTCTCAAATGATGTTTATATGACTCATTATCACTCTCACATTAGTTTCTATGATATTTAAAATGTGTTTAATTAAGTTTAATCGTAAATTGGTCACGAATTCAACACACTAATGAAAAACACTGGTAATTCATATTTAATTAAAATATTAAATATCATTAGTAAAATTATCTAATTAGATAATTATTTCCTAATTTACGTTGATGCAAAAAATTAATTAAATTTATTTTAAAAGTTAAAAAATAAATATTAACTTAATTTTAATCTAGATATGTGATAACATTAAAATATAAACTATTCAGAAAAAATAGTTTTTATTTTTTGTAAATAAACTTATAGAAAATATTATTTGTGAATAAAACTACCTACAATAGAATTTTTCGTGTATTAATTTTATATATTCTTAACTTTTTCAAAAATATAAATTTTATTCACAAACAATATTTCTAAAATTTTATTCAAAAAATATATTTATTTTTATAAATAGTTTATATTTTAATGTTATCGCATATTTAGATTAAAATAAAATTGAAATTTATTTTTTATTTATTAAAATAAATATTTAAAATTTTAACTTTTTAACATTAAAAAATTTTAACTTTTTAACTTTCAACGAATAAATATTTAAAATTTTAGTTCTTGGCGCATGGAATTTTCACAATACATAATATAATCTCGCCTCAATGGCCATTTATATTAAATTATATTCATTTTAGTGTTTTAAAATGTTTATAACGTGATTCGTCGCGTTTTGCCGCTTATACTACGCAGCGTAAGTAGATATTCGTGTTGCGTAAGCTATTAAAGTATAAAATTTTGTTTGTTAGAAATATCATATATTTGCATATAATAAAATTGGATTGTTAATTTTAAAAAGTATTTTAGTAATATTTTATGACACTAAATTTTAGAGTAAAATAATGTTGAGTATTATGATTAATAAAATGAGGCCGGTTTTATTTTGGCATGAAATGTCCAAATTTAAATGATATGAATTTCATTTGGTGTGGATAGAATTGTATTTAATTTTTAAAAATGGAATAAGTGGTATGAATTTTATTTTGTATGGGTATGAAAGTCGAATTTTAGGTTGATTTGTTATGAAATCAAGATAATATCATTCTCAATTTTTAGCATATTCCTATAATAACTTGTCATAAGATAATTCATACACTATTTTAGGCATATTTGTACATATACATGTTCGGTTTTAGGCTTGAGAATTACCATAAACTATTTTAGATTTTTTTTTTTCTCAAGTTACCATATACTTCTCTTACTCTTCCTTATTTAATTCATATAATAATTATTATTATAAATATGTATTCTTTTTATTTTTAAATCTTTATAATTTTTATTTTTATTTTATTTTTGTATGTTAAAATAATCATATTTTAATGATCTTTGATTTGACATCCATATTGCATATATAAAATAAAAAATAATTACGTTTATCAAATATAAATAAAACTATATTTATTAAAAAAATAATTTCAACAATATGAATACAACATAAATTATTTTATAACAAAAATAATAAAAATCTAATTCAGTAATACACCATAAAATAATTATTTTAATGCGTTTTATCATAGATTTTAAATAAAATAATAAAATTAAGTGTAAAAATACGGACCCCATTTTGAATTAATTATTACTTTGTTAGTTATTCATAATTTTTATATATTCATTATACATAATTTTTTACAATATAAAAAAAAAATTAGTTTTTCTATTGTACAAATATTAATATATTTACGTACCCGTGTAGTGCGCATGTATCGTACTAGTTGATATATATTTCTCTTGAAAATTTGATAGATCTTTGAATAAATAATTTTTAATAAAATTTAATTATATAATTTAATTTTAGAAAATTAGTTGATAAATTTGAACGACATAAAATATAGATTTATAGATTTAGTATAATATAAATTTATATGAAATAAGATTAGTAAAATATAAATTTTTTTAATTTAGATAATTTATACAAAAATAAATTTATACTAATTAATAAAAAAATTAAGAAAAATTAGTAGTAGGAGAGATAAATTATAGAAGATGATAAAAAGAAAATAATGATAAATATGTGGAGAAAGAAAGAAAAGAAAAATAATAAACAACTAGAAAAGTTAGTAGTGGAGAGAGAGAAATAATAAAATAATATGTAAATAATAAATTGTAGTGAGATGATGTAATAAATTATTTATTTTTGATTTAATTTTAACACTAGGGAGTTAGGAGGAAGAAAATTAAAGAGGAAGGGAGTTTAAAGGAAGAATAAAAGGCATGGGGACGGCATGGGGACCTGAGGAGGAAGATGAAAAGAGAGTTAAGGATTTTAGGAGAAGTTAGCCCCAAAATTACTACTCTAGAGATATTAGAAGCATATTTATTGAGAATGATATTCTGGGCACAGGTTTGAAGTGTTTCATCACCATGGTCTCTTATACAGTGAATAACAAGGAAAGTTAATTAAAAAAAAAAAAGAAACAGATATATCAACTCGGACGAAAGACATGCGCAGAACAAATACTGCATTCAGCAAGGGGAAAAATTGTTTCACATAGAAGTTAAATAACAAGTGACGAACATAATAACAAATGTCATGAAGAAGCCATATATTTCCCTTCACTTCACACACAAGCACCAATCAACACACAAGCGACCCCACCCTGTTTGTCCTGTGCAGTTTTACAGATTTGCCCTTCTCATCTGCTACTAAGGATGATCCGTTTTTCTTGCTATAGCGCCGCAAAAGCCTGTCCATCGTCTTCTCTTCTTCATCCTTGTGCTTTCTTCGGCCATCATCGTCCAAGAACCTCAAGATTCTCTGCCCTTGTTCGGCTTTCTCGTTGAATTCCTTCTGCAAAAAAGAGGACAATGTTTTTTGTAATGTGGCCAAAAAGAAGAAACAAAATGTGAACATAGATAAACTAAGAGCATCTTGAGTGGGTGCATCGATTGCTCAACTCTAATGCCACATGGTCAAAAAATCCTCGGTAGCACAACGAATTTCTATTTTCTACAAGTCCTTTCAGACATAGGACTTGTATACATGGGAATGAAATTTTTACTCTTCTTCATGCCAAATATGCACAGGGTAAACAGCAACTGAGACGTAATTACTAACGTAGGCTAACAAATACTTCTCAGACATTAAAACGGGGAATACTATAGTGTACTATACCTTATTATATGCAGATTCATGACTTGAGCCTCAAGGGTTCAAAGTGGAAAGTTCAATAGTTCAGGGGTAAAAACGCCATTAAAAATTATATTGGGGGATTCAGGGTTCCATAAAATCAACCTAGAAAAGAACCAGACAAAACAAAAAGGTTTGATCAATGGACACATCACCAGAATAGAGAAGCTACAGTACCTAAATTTTCAAGCAAGAGAAATTTTATCAGCCACACAAAAATATAAAAACATCACATTCAAATTCCTAAAACGTGTCATATCTGTCATTTTTTTCTCCCTAAAAAACTGAGATAACAACATGGCAACACTCCCTGATGAAATGTATGTATCTAACCAGAATCCAGAAATCAAAGGGGCCAAAAAGGAAAGAAAACAATATAGGAATATATATATTGAATATACATAACGATACTCAATAAACAGAACCCACAAAAGAAGACATAGGAAAAGCAGAAAATCAGATTATAGAAACATTATGAGATTTTACAACCAAAAAATATATATACAAAAAAATAAAAAATAAAAAGAAAACAGAATTAGAAATATTACCCTGCCATAGGCGTCAATATCCACTCCATTTTTAAGATCATCTGCAATATCATTCCTCAGATACTTTTGCATTGCATTTCTCTGATAACCACCATTTTTCTCGTTCTCTTGCGTCTTGGGTTTCAGTCCACCTCTTGATTCTGGCTTCCAATTTGCCCTCAAAAGCGACTCAGCCAGTAGCTCCGCAATATCAGTAGCCATAGTCTCGGCCTTGTGGACAAAAGGAAACCTTTCCTTCTCAAAGTGATTAGACAGCCACAAATACATAGCAAGCACCTGGTGCCTGGTCTCGAGATCCAGAAGCTCCGAGTCATTGCGGGCTGCACACTTGGGCATACCCATGGCTATATTTACGGGAAGCTTTTGAGCATACGAGGATGCAAACCTCAGGAGATGGTACACCGCTTTGGGGTCCCGAATATTGACCGGTGCAAAGCAAAAGTTAAAACGGTCTTCTAAAGACAACCCTTGAATTTTATCCAACATATTAGCTATTTTCCTTATGTGCATGTGCTGGCAGAGGAAGTAGGACCCATCTAGCCGGCAATTCTCGGAGAAATTCTCAAGAAGCTTGGAGAATTTCATATCCGAGAGTTGGCCTGCGAATAGCTCAACCTGCTCATAAAATGGGAAGAGCCCCACTTTGTTGACGTCTTCAAAGGGCTGTTTTAGGCACTCGATTAAATAGCCCAAATCATCAAGTTGCAAGGTTGTGGCTAACCCATCTGGATATCGGCTCCCCCTACGGCCTGCCCTTCCGGCAATCTGTTTGACTTGAGAAGCCGGCACGCACACCATTTTATCACCATTATACTTTGACAAGCTATAGAATACGATTCTACGGATGTTCAAATTCAAACCCATACCCACAGCATCGCTCGCAACCAATACATCAAACTCATTACCATGATTGTTAAAAAGGGAAGCCTGCCGTCGACGGGTCTCTGGTGGCAGGGCCCCATATATGACACAACAACGGTGGTTTGTGTATTTCTCGATCGCCAATTTAACCTCAAATATTTCCCTCCTCGAGAAAGCAACAATACAATCTCCCGATTTCACATTCTTCAAGTCCCCCAACAGAGTTTTTGCCTCAACCACAAGTGGTTTGAATCTCTCATAGTGCTGTTCAACAAGTTCATCCCCAGTGTCTGAACAAATTCGCCTCACCACATTCAGAACACTTGGGTCTCCACACAAATGGATCTCATCGGCTTTAAGCCCGAGCAAGGCCCGCGTCCACGCATAGCCCCGACAAGAATCAGCCATCATCTGGATTTCATCAATAACTGCAACATCATACAATTCATCGGTCGAGACCATCTCAACTGTGCAAGCAACATGGTTCGAGAACGGGAAGTCCTTCTTCTCCTGGCCAGTCAGAAGGCTACAGTAAACTCCCAAACCATTCACCTTGTCGAAAACCTCCATGGCTAACAACCTAAGAGGGCTACAGTAAACGCCTTTCTTAGCCTCCATAAATCTCTGCAGCGCATTGTACGTCTTCCCACTGTTGGTGGGGCCACAGTGATAAATGATCTTACGTTTCATGGCTCTGGCGAAAGGGAACCAAGTGTGGGGTCGAGTCATGTCGGCTGAGTCCACCATCTTCCGGAACTTGCTGATCTCATCCGGAAATTCGTCCAGGCAAAACTCTATGAAAATCGGGAGCAGAAATCTGTCAGACTTGTCTCCGGGACCCAGAGACACCAAGTACTTAACCAGATTGTCGCTGGACCTCTTCACAAAAAAGACACCGAACTTACGGGCTGCTAATGGAAAAAATGAGCCACTGATATAAATGGCAAGGGCCTGGTTTGTAGCCCAACTGGACTTTGTAAAAAAGCTCAAAATCTCATCCAAAGCATCCGAATGTGCACCAGATTTCTTTTGGCAGTGTATGGTGTCCTTAAGCTCTTTATATAACCGTAGCGGATCCCTATTGGAAAATTCATCTTCCTGCCCACAAACAATTTGAGTTTCGGACCCGGGTATTCTTTCTTCCTCGCGAGCTGGTTGAATACTTTCCTCTGAAACCGGCTTTTCATTTTCCGACAAGGTGCAGAACCAATGTCCGTGAGAATTTGGAAATGCGCAGAAATTGGTGAAGATGGGTACTGGCGGCCACGGTTGTGCTGAGACTTGCGAGGAATTTGGGCATAGTGAGGATTCTAACGCGCGGAGATGGAACTTGCAACGAGGAATAAGGTTCCTACCCAAGCTATTTTTGCAGAAATATAGGGAAAAAAGCAGCTTTACCTGACCTCTCGACATTAACAAGTACGGGAAAGCCAGTACAGTAAATCTAGCCTTTGGCGATTGAGGGCTATGACAGCTTGCAGGCCAAGGAGTCACCTGCAGTTATGAAGGCGGGACTGCCGAAGCTCCTTCAATCACAGGCTGAGCCACGAGCCCGTACGTACATATCCGTTCGGGACCAGCCAATGCGAGGTATTTGACTAAGACGCCCCTTCTCCCCTGTCGTCTATGGTTCTGGTGGAGTAGGCGGACATAGATTACGGGGAATGCGCATAAGCATAGGAGCTGAAAACACCCTTCTTTGACGATGCGCAAGATCGCAATGGATTCCGCCGCGACTTTTATTAGATCATACGCGACTTTTATTAGATTATACGCGGTACATGTCTCAGTGCCCTCACCACTTGCCCCTCAACTTCGTCGAGTTTGATCGCTAGTCTCCCAGGTCCCAGACTTTAGATCTCTTCTCTATAGCGAGCCGCAATGAACAAACAAACAAAAAAACAAATAAGATGAATCTGGGGATATAAGATGAATGTGGGGAAATAGCGAATTGATTTCTATCGGCTGAAGTTGGGAGGAAGTGAGAAAAGGAAACCCTAAGCTAAATTAGAAAAGACTGTGTATTTTTTCATATTACCTTTTTTTATTATTATTATTATTTTTTTTTTTTGAGATCGAGGTTCCAGGTTTGTGCTTGACTACTCCTCGAGAAAACAGCTCCGTCCCCTCAGACACTGCCTCCAATTAAACCACAGTAGTCACAAAATGGCTCTCATGTACTTAATACCCTCAACTACCGCGCACAAGGAGTCGATCCCCAAGTGATCGCTCGCTGGCCCTCCCAGTTCCAAGTTGGCCCCACCTATCCAGCCGCTGGTTCCCACCGAAGTGATCGCTCGCTGGTCCCCCCAACTTTATGGTGGCCCCACTTATCCAGTTGCCGCTTCTAGTCCTCAGTATTAATTTTTTTATATTACTTTTTGTATCCATTTGTTGTCCAACATAATATCATAAGATATTCATCCTTATATAAAACTTATATCATATAAAAATAGTTATATAGTATATTTAATTAAACATCTTAAAAATTATCACTATATATTCTTAGTTCGAGTCGTGTGTATTTTATTAAGATTATGGATATCTATGATTTCTTAACTCAAATGGTTAATAAAAATATACTAGATTTGTTTATTCATTAATAACTAAATAGGTATATACATAAGAGCTTAATTATATTATAATATTTTACCACATAAATTATAACTAGTCGCCATCCGTCCGATGCACGGCATGATATATTTGACTAATTTTTTTTTTAATAGTAACCATTAAATTTAATGGACTTGGTATATGATCTATTTGACTGAATTTTTTTAATAGTGAATATTAAATTTAATGTACTTTTTATATATGTAATAAACGTAAACATGTCGGGAGCAAATTAAAAAATTTATAAATTATTGAACACTTCATTGTACAACTCTTGCACTTTGTGTAGGGCATGTTGTGTAACGCCTCGACGACAGAAACTTGATTGATGCAGAAGAGTAGTAGTATTTTCATTCTCGTCATCACTGGCTATCATGATACTTTCCGACCCGACAATATTGAAATTATTCGAGTTTTTTTCACAAAATTTACACTGGCTATTTATTTTATTTTATAATAATATAAAATAAATTACAAGTAACGAATAAAATATCATAAAATCGAAAGTGAGAATATCATGATCTATATATAAACTAAAATATAAATGAAATACCATGATCTATTTTATAAATCGAAGGTAGAATTCCTTATGCTCGCATGGGATCCTTGCATTCTTCAAACTACCTTTTCGTGATAAGTTTTTTCCCAGTGAATAATTTTATATAAACACGATTATAGATGTTTATGCATGGCCCTCGGTATCTTTTAATAAAGAGTACAGGAAATTAAAGATACGATCATTGATAAAAATAATATATAAACTCGAATAAAAATTCACTATAAATCAGAGATTCTAAACATATATCGATTATGTTAACATAGTGGTTATTTAGTTTCCAATTTGAATAGGTATCTAAATAATAGGGAATATAGGTATTGGATTGATACGATTTGTTTTAATAGATATCACCGTGGTAATTTAGATAAAATCAGATTCGGCCGGTAATGGGCAATTTATAAAAATGAAGCATATCAAATAGATATTTAGATATAAATCCATGTCAAGTAAAATTGCGGCATCTATATATAAATATAATAAGAATTACCATTTTTCAAAAATGGCATGTCAACTATATGGTCAAATTCGCTCATCATTAATTACTTTCCATTAATGTCAACTTTTTTTTATTTAAGAACACGGACCACATTAAATGCAATGGTTAGTTTGTTACATTAATGACCACACAATCGAGAAAGATTCAACAGACCACATAAATTTCGAAAAAATAAATTTTAACAAAAAAAATGGCTAATACATTTGTTTTACACGGATCTATATCCATATATATTGAAAAAGGTTGATGGTAAATTCATTTGTGGAAAGCTAAAATAAATGAGTCAAAAGTTTGACTTACTAATTGTGGAACATGTTTAAAAATCCGGATTTTTGTTTGGTTTTCGCAATTTGTTAGATTTTTTGTTTTTTTTGTTTTTTTGTTTAATAACGTGGAAAAGTCATCCATAATTCACGCAATTAAAATTTGTTCAGTCGAGAAATTTATGGAATTTTAGTACGTGACCAATTTTGATAATTTTAGGCAAAATAAACGTAGTTAGTTATTAATAGATTTCTAAAAGATTTTATACATATTCACATCAGTCTTTTGAATTTAATCCCTAAATTTTAGTTATAAAATGATTTCAAAAGATTTTATACATATTCACATCAGACATTTGAATTTAAATACCTGAATTTTGGGAACAGATTATACCCTTACTCATATATTTTCCCATTAATGCACGATTTGCATAATATGGTGATAAAATATTTTTTGATCTTATCCAAATAACAATATTGTACACTTTATCTATTAAATATCGTAATCACATTTTACTCTGCATGCATAAATATACTCAACGGAATATTTTTCATACAATGAATATGTCGAGGACTCATTAACAAAACAATGTCTTGCCGCTGCAGAATGCATATGCTAAAGGACTCATAAATTATGTCTACAGTAAAAAAAAAGCACATCGACTGGGTACCATGTAATGAGTCTTTCCTACAAGATCTCTTTTACATTATGTTATGCAAATTAAATATCTGAACAATTTAAATTTTTATGATAAATTTATAAAAAAATATTAATTAAATATCTGAACAACTTAAATTTTTCAATGTTCAAACTAAATGATAAATAATTTATGAATCTCCGTTTTATTTAAATATGTTTACTTATATTAAAAATAGTTTTAAATATAACAAATGTTATATAAAAAATCATACCAATACTACCAGTTCGACCGATTGGAGTTGACGGTTCTCTAGCAAACATTTTTTATTCAAACGAATCGGTCTGGTCGATAAACCGGTTCCCATTACATCCGGTCGGACTGTTTAGTTCGGTCCGATTTTGAAAACAATGGGTAAATCATGATTAATGTTATTTATATACTTAATTTATAATATAATCGTAATATTATATCCCGTTCATCGCACGGGCCACGTACTAGTATAAGCGAAATGTATGTTCTATTCTTTTTTACACGTAGATTTTTAAAGAATTTAATTGTATTATGTGTTGATTTTACACTAAATCTATATATTTTGTAAATAGTGTTTTTTGAAAATAGCTATATTATATATAAAATACTGAATATAATATATAAAATAAATATCGTAGATAAAATCTCTTTCATTTAAGCACAAGTGCCCACCCAATATACAATATATGAAATGAAGAGAAATGCTACAAGTACATAATACTGTACGTAGAGTTGTACATAACACTCACATTAGTGGGTCCTACTAAAAATAAAAAAACAAGTGGACCCCACTCCATGTGAGTGTTATGTACACATTTATGTACATTTATTATGTACTTGTAGCATTTTCCATAAAATAAATGTAGTGTTTTTCTCAAACACGATAGGTATTTAATTTTCCATCATAACACATATCTATATGATGTATGGATACTTAGCCTATGATAGGCACCAAAGTAAACCAATTAGTTTTTAACTTTAGTTTTTAAGTATGTGATGGCATTATAAAAATCATGTTGTGCTTAAAAAATTGAGCCTTTGAAATGTACCATGATAAACAATAAAAAATTTGTAGGGTCGCTCTCTAGTGAGAATAGTGCTTAGTGAAAGAATAAGATTAAACTTTAGTTGTTGAATCGAACGATATTAAACATCTTAAAATTTATCACTATATATTCTTAGTTCGGGTCGTGTGTATTTTATTAAGATTCTGGATATCTATGATTTCTTAATTCAAATGGTTGATAAAAATATACTAGATTTGTTTATTCAATAATAATTACTAAATAAGTATTATACATAAGAGTTTAATTTTATTATAGTATTTTACCACATAAATTATAACTAGCCGCGACTCGTCCGATGCACGACATGATATATTTGACTGATTTTTTTTAATAGTGACCATTAAATTTAATGGACTTGTTATATGATCTATTTGAAGGAATTTTTTAAATAGTGAATATTAAATTTAATTGACTTTTTATATATTGACACACGTAAACATGTCGAGAGCAAATTAAAAAAAATTATAAATTATTGAACATTTTATTGTACAACACTTGCACTTTGTGGCATGTTGTGTAACGCCTCGACGACAAGAACTTAATTGGTGCAGTAAGAGTAGTATTTTCATTCTCGTCATCACTGACTATCACTATACTTTCCGACCCAACAACATTGAAATTATTCGAGTTTTTTTCTCAAAATTTACGTTGGCTTTTACTTTATTTTATAATAATACAAAAAAAATTATAAGTAACGAATAAAATATCATAAAATAGAAGGTGAGAATATCATGATCGATATATAAACTAAAATATAAATGAAATATCATGATCTATTTTATAAATCGAAGGTACAAATCCTTATGCTCGCACGGGATCCTTGCATTCTTCAAAATACCTTTTCGTGATAAGTATTTTCACGTAGATTCTTAAAGAATTTAATTGTATTATGTGGTTGATTTTACACTAAATCTTTATATTTTGTAAATAGTGTTTTTGAAAATAGCTATATTATATATAAAATACTGAATATTATATATAAAATAAATATCGTAGATAAAATCTCCTTCATTTAAGCGCAAGTACCCACCCAATATACAATATATGAAATGGAATATACAGTTTATCTGTTTCCACACATGTTTTACTCTATGAAAAAAATAGTATAGATTATACGTATATAAAATAAATGTAGTGTTTTTCTCAAACACGACATGTATTTAATTTTCCATCATAATACATATCTATATGATGTATGGATATATCAAACATACTTAGCCTATGATAGGCACCAAAGTAAAATGATTAGTTTTTAACTTATATAGTTTTTAAGTATGTGATGACATTATAAATCACATGTTGTGCTTGAAAAATTAAGCCTTTGA